AATATAACTTCCTCTCCAATCTGATCTTGGACAGCGCGCTTCGAGCTCAAACTCGGCCGGTTCCAGGAACGTCTTTGCGTAGGAAACCTCCTTCCCCTTGGTGGGACCACCAATGCACTGAGGTTTATCGTAAAAAGTCCGACGCGTTTAAGCTTTTCCGGAAACGTGGAACACCCGTGTATTTCGAAGCGTACTCGGCTCTTGAACGCGAACTCAAGAGCCTCATCAAAGCCAAGAAACGCGGATACTGGCGGCAATTCGTGGACGGATTATCGCGCGAAACGTCGATGAATACGCTTTGGAACGCGGCGCGAAGGATGCGTAACCGGTCTTCGAACAACGAGAGCGAGGAGTACTCAGATCGTTGGATTCTCAAGTTCGCGCGAAAAGTATGTCCTGATTCCGTGCCGGCACAGATGATTCCTCGCGAAACGACGAATTCTGTAGACGAGATCAGCCAGCCTTTTTCAATGCTGGAACTCTCACTCGCGCTCCTTTCGTGTGGCAATTCGGCTCCGGGGCTGATAGAATCAAGTTCAACTTGTTGAAGAACCTCCCAGACGTCGCTAAGAGGCGCATGTTGAACTTGTTTTGTCAGTTCCTGGAGCTCAATATTGTTCCGGATGATTGGAGGCAAGTGAGAGTTATAGCCATTAAAAAGCCTGGAAAACTCGCTTCAGATCATAACTCGTATCGTCCCATCGCGATGTTATCGTGCATTCGAAAATTGTTGGAGAAAATGATCCTTTTTCGCTTGGACAAATGGGTTGAGACGAACCACCTACTCTCAGATACTCAATTTGGATTCCGTAGGGGCAAGGGAACGAACGACTGTCTCGCGTTGCTTTCCACAGAAATTCAGTTGGCTTTTGCTAAAAAAGAGCAAATGGCTTCTGTATTCTTGGATATCAAGGGGGCTTTTGATTCAGTATCCGTTGAAGTCCTTTCAGACAAACTCCACGCTTGTGGCCTTTCTCCATTAATAAATAACTTTTTGTACAATTTGCTGTCAGAGAAACATATGAGCTTTTCTCATGGAAACTCTACAGCTTCTCGATTTAGTTACATGGGTCTCCCCCAGGGCTCATGTTTAAGCCCCCTTTTGTATAATTTCTACGTCAGAGAAATTGACAATTGTCTAAGTGACAACTGCACGTTGAGACAACTTGCAGATGACGGCGTAGTGTCTATGACAGGGCCCAAAGGGGTCGACCTGCAAGGACCCTTACAGGATACCTTAGACAATTTCTCTACTTGGGCTATTCAGCTAGGTATCGAATTCTCCACGGAGAAAACTGAGTTGGTCGTTTTTTCTAGGAAGCATAGCCCAGCACAACCAAAGCTTCAACTTTTGGGTAAACCGATCACTCATTCTATGTCCTTCAAATATCTTGGGGTCTGGTTCGATTCAAAATGCACCTGGAGATCCCACATTGAGTATCTGAGACGAAAATGCCAACAAAGGATCAATTTTCTCCAAACAATTACCGGAACGTGGTGGGGAGCCCATCCGCAAGATCTTCTAACGTTGTACCGGACAACGATTTTATCGGTTTTAGAGTACGGTAGTTTTTGTTTCCAGTCGGCGGCTAAAACTCACATCATCAAACTGGAACGTATCCAGTATCGTTGTCTTCGTATCGCGTTAGGATGCATGCACTCGACTCATACGATGAGTCTAGAAGTGTTGGCGGGCATGTTGCCACTATCGGATCGGTTCTCGGAATTGTCCCTCAGGCTCCTCACCCGTTGCGAAGTTATGAACCCACTGGTAATCGAAAACTTTGAAAAGCTTCTTGAGCTGAACCCTCAAACTCGTTTTATGTCATTGTACTATGTGTACATAACACAGGATGTCAGCCCTTCACAGCATAATCCTCATCGTGTATGCTTCTCCGACTTCGGCAATTCAGTTAGTTTTGATTTATCTATGACGCGGGAGATTCGTGGGATCCCAGAACATCATCGTTCCATGATTGTTCCGTCAATTTACGCTGCAAAGTTTGGCCAAGTTGATTCCGCAAGATCGTTCTTCACAGATGGATCACTAATAGAGTCGTCCGCTGGTTTTGGTATTTTTAACGAATTTCATAGCGCCTCTCGAATGCTTCAAGCTCCTTGTTCCGTATATGTTGCTGAGCTGGCGGCAATACATTATACGCTAGAAACGATCGCCTCACTTGCACCAGATCATTATTTTATTTTTACGGATAGTCTCAGTTCTGTCGAGGCTATTCGCTCTATGAGGCCGGTAAAGCACTCCTCGTATTTTCTCATGAAAATACGAGAGCTTTTAAGTGCTTTATCTTTAAGATCTTTTGTCATCACCTTTGCATGGGTCCCATCTCATTGCTCGATTCCGGGCAATGAGATGGCTGACTCACTTGCTAAGGTGGGCGCTATGGAAGGCGATATTTACGATCGACAAATCGCCTACGATGAATTTTTCTTCATTTATCGTCAACAGTCACTCGTCAGCTGGCAGAATAAGTGGAGTGAAGGGAGTTTGGGACGATGGCTATATTCGATCATCCCTAAGGTGTCGAAGAGTTCTTGGTTCAAGGGGTTGGATGTGGGTCGAGACTTCATTCGCATGATGTCTCGCCTCATGTCCAATCACTATTCGTTAAACGCTCACTTGTTCCGTGTTGGGCTGAAGGACAGCAATCTCTGTGAATGTGGACAAGGTTACCAGGACGCAGATCACATTATTTGGTCTTGTGCTGAGCATCGCGGAGTCAGATCTGAACTGTACGATTCCCTTCGGGCTCGAGGTAGACAACCTAATGTTCCAGTTCGGGATATTTTGGCTAGACGCGATCTGGAGTTTATGAAACTCATATATGTTTACTTTAAGAATATTAACATTAGATTGTAAGTTTTATTAACCATGTGTTTAGTTTGTATTTTGTACGTGTGGGTTTTTTTTTTATGTTTGTTTTCAAGATGAATAGAAATTCGTTCATGTTTTAGGATTAATTAAATATTTGTATCGTAAACCACATTTCAAACCTCCCTCTCCCTTTCCCATCCAAAAAAAATTGTAAATCCCCACTAACCTCGAGACAACCGCGAGTATCCGGTCCAGCTCCTTTAACTTTAAATATAAGAAATCAATAATGTATAACAAAAATGATAACTCGGCTCTGTAAAGTTTATTCGATTGAGCCTGTACAAATAAAGTAATTAATAAAAAAAAAAAAAAAACCGTTAAATGCATGAACGAAGATACACAATGAAGAGTTACGTCTCTTTGTCTGTGGTAAAAGTATAGTTGAAAAAGCGTTGCCAGTTGTATTGCCTCTAGCAATGGATTTAAGTTTATTAAAACAAGCAATTGATATAGATGAGTGGATGTAATTAATGGTGAATAAATATCAGAAACTGAGTAAATAAAACAAAAAACGACCATTCTAGGCATTTACCGGTCCAATTTAAAAAGCCACAGAAGATTGAATTCAACACTAACAGGGTTGATGGCAGCAGTGCACGTAGCCTGGTATGCGCTTTCCCGCTCAGGGGAGTAAACATACAGCAAAGTCTGGCAGTGTGAACGTTTTGTGTGCTACATTCTTATAGATAGTGTGACATCACATTTGCTGTTGTATTGAAATGACGGAAGAAATGAGATGGTTAAAGTTTCCTCACCATACCAGTTGATATTTATGAAACATGGGCAGTTTTGGCGTGGGGACCTGCACTTCCAATGAATTTTACCCATACATTTAGAAAATGATGATCGAAGAATATTTCAAAAAGAAGAAGTGAACAAATTGTTGACCCTTTGTAGAACCTTAAAAAAATTAAATTGATCGAATTTGATGACAAATAATTATACAAAGCTTAAAATAAATCCGAGAAGGTGCTTTTTTTGCTGGAATTGCTCATTTCTCGAATCCTGGTGATTCCTGATCTCAGGGTAACTTAAAATTACCGGGAAACAGAAACACGTTTCCTGCATATAGGGTAGATGTACCAATTATGTAGGGTAGATGTACCAATTTTGGTGTGTTTCAATTATTCATGGCATATGGGAATTCCATAGGTCATAGTGGGATCAGACCATAAAAGAAATGTATTGCAATAACTGGTTTATCTACCCTATATACGAAGCCCATTATTAAATAACTATAATCTATTTAGAATCCTAACCCTTTCAGCTTTGTATCAAGCTTAATGCGTTTACATTTACAAAAAGTTTGTTTTATTTAACTCAGTTGAAACGCACTTTGAAGTTATTCGACTTAAAGTTGCACGGTGCTTGGTTCGAAATCGTACTGACACGTTCACAAGCAATATGAACATTTACGAGGAAGGCAATTGTCAGCAGAAGGTCGATTAATCAATATTTTACTATTTATGATACATATTAAGCAAAAGAGCTAGGTTAAGGTACTGTTGGGTGTATCTAAACACTCTCAATTAAGTTTAGAGTAAATAATGGCCTTAACATATAGCATTCGCAACTTGCCCTCCAGTTTATATGTGACTTATTTAACTAGAATTGTTACCAGTTGTTGTACAGTCATATTTTTTCAGACCAGCATTCTAGCTGATTTATTTCCATTTGCTGCGCTTACAGAACTGCAGTTTCCAAATCCCACCATTCAATTCCAACAGTTTGCCCCAATTACGAATGCCAATGCAAAATGCTCTCAATCTGTTCAACCAATGAAGATCACCCATCGGTGATAGGTTGGATAATCGACAGAACTGCATCGGGTTTCAAGCAATCACCCCGAGGAGGCAAGGCCTGATGAAGATATTCAACTAATTCAATTGAATTCCTCCTTTGATGATCCACCCACCATCATCAGCCCAAAGTGATCTCAAGCGGAACAATCGCAGAGCAATAAGCGTTTTAATGCTTAATTGAAGATTCCAAGGTCTTTCGGGTGCAGTCAGTGCTGAGTGGTTCAATGGACTTTGTGGATGATTGTGGACGGGAAAAGTCCATTTTTGAAATGAGGGAGAAGGCGATCAAGAGAGTAAGAAGGATATTTGCTGCGATTGTTGTATATTTGCAATTTCAAAATTCCTGTTTGATATCATTTGGTCCATAATTTTACCAAGTTCCTGGAGCTGGAGCCAGATTCAGAGACTTCTGGTTGACGATGTGTCCGGGGAGTGGGGCCTTGTGTACGGCTCCACGGTTGGCAGCCACATACGAAGCGGAGTGATGCACTGGAGCAGCAAAGGCCACAGCTGGAACTTGATGATGATGATCCCAGTGGCTATCGTAGGCAGTGACGGCAGCTGGGACGTACTGGGGATACGAGTTGTAGGCAGCTACTTGATAAGGATGAGCATAGGCTTGTTGAGCCCAGCTGTGATGATCATTGGATTGAACAACGGTTGGTCCATGTTGAGAAGCGTAGGTCGCATATGGAGCAGCAGCATAACCATATCCGTGATGGGCGTAGACCGATGGGGCGTAGGACGCGTCAGCGGCAATGGCAAGGGCCATCATGACTACAACTGCGATGCACTGTAAAAGATAAAATTAAACTTAGATTTGAGCTTTATAAAACAACATACGCTGTACACTGTTTACCTTCATGATTGTTGGATATAAGTGGAACCTGTAGACTAGTTGATTGCTCGGAAGAGTATGATTCTCAATACGAATCTGTAGCTCTCTTTATACCATCTATCAAAATGTGCGAACTTTTTGAAAGTTCAAAATTGGCTCAAAAAAAGTAGGAATAGATCAGCAAAACAGAACCGCTAAAAATTCGCCTGTCTGCTCTATCATTGCAATTGATCGGTTGTAGCCAATTAGTAATTACTGATTTTATGGTGCCTTAATTGGTGCTCATTTTTTCTTTCAAAAATCATTCAGTCCGTTGTCAAAGCTTCCTATTCAATCATGGTATAAAATGGAGGTGTGCATTGGAAAAAGGAGTCAGAATATAGTCATCTTTCAAACAGCTTACCTCTTTGAGAACAATTCTATAATAGTTATCATGAAGGTAATCAACTTGATCTAGCTTGTTAAAATTTCCCATTGAAATCAATACCAATTATATTACAGTGCATCGCAGCTGTAGTCATGATGGCCCTTGCCGTTGCCGCTGAAGGTTCCTACGTACCATCGATCTACTCCCATCACGGATATGGTTATGCTGCTGCTCCATATGCGACTTACGCTGCCCATCATGGACCAACCGTTGTTCAGTCGAATGATCATCACAGCTGGGCTCAACACGCCTATGCTCATCCTTATCAAGTAGCTGCCTACAACTCGTATCCCCAGTACGTTCCAGCTGCCGTCACTGCCTACGATAGCCACTGGGATCATCATCAGCAAGTTCCAGCTCTGGCCTTTGCTGCTCCAGTGCATCACTCCGCTTCGTATGTCGCTGCCAACCGTGGAGCCGTGCACAAGGCCCCACTTCCCGGACACATCGTCAACCAGAAGTCGCTGAACCTGGCTCCAGCTCCAGGAACATGGTAATTGGAAAATGATATACTGCTTTTGATATGGAAGTTCGACCGATCTGATGCTAATACAGTAAATTGAAACCCGAATCTTTTTAGTTTTGATAATTGTAATTGTAACCGAGCTAAACTACCCATAAACGCATAACTGTTTAACTTGATTACTAAATCAAGCAAAGATGTTATGCTTTTATGGACAGTAAACATTGTTGGAAAGTTCTTCACATGTTCTGACTTCACCGTTCTGATTAGTTTGAGGCTGTTCCACTCGACTGTCATGTAGTCAACCAGAAGTCACCCCACATTTGCAACCACATTCAAACTTTGTCGCATCGCGAAGACATCTAGCTACTTACAACTCTGTCACATCCACTTACCCCAAGTGAACACCCGACGATGACTTTGTCTCATTGAGCTGTCCAATTTCGTATAGTTAGGCCTGCAGGCAGCAGCTTTCATCAGAACCTTCTCCCTGTAATCCCACCCCCCTTGAACAAGTGATGACTGATTCCGATTGAGCTCTAAGCTCATTAGTCACTCGCACAAACGCCAGTTGATTCTTTGGCTGAACCACGCGGTGGGAATGAAAGTAAAAGGAGCAAATTACCGCTGGAAATTTAACTCGTTTATCCTGATTGTGCTCTATATTGCGCACGTATGCAAATAGCTACCGGGCAGTTGACGATAATTATAATTGAGCCAACCGAGCGATTGAAGTAAGTTCGCACTTACCTAGTGCTAGTGCTATTATCAATCAACCTGTGTTTGTCAAGTCCACTCCCGTTCGAGATATTTAGCCAAGGAAAAAAACGGTTGCCCAATGATTGACTCATTCTCCACGGTCCGAGTTGGAGAACTTTCCTACTGTCAGGTGCACAAACGACGTCTTACTCACACGGCGAATGAGAACGACCCAAATTTGAGTTTAGTTCACTCATAATTACCAAAAGTGCAGGAACTCAGCGATGAGTAAAATTTGTCTCATGGTTTCCTGTGGAAAACCTCAAAAATCTGCCGGAAAATGAGGAAATTGACGAAAATTTTATTCAGTCTCGGAGTAGTACCAATAGACTGAGTGAATCCAATCTTTCCTTGTCTCAAATTCGGTAATTTTTCCCTCGAAAATCCTGGAAAAACCTGGGAAAACATGAGGAAAATTTACTCATCGCTGAGTTCCTGCACTTTATGTAATTTATGAGTTGACTAAACTCAAATTTGGGTCGTTCTCATTCGCCGTGCATGTGGAACGACTTTTTCACCAGCAGAAATATTTAAATCACACTTATGGCATGGTCGACTTCATTTCTCTACCGGGCCCTGGTACGCCTTCGTCGTCGGCCTTTATACTGGATTGGGACCGGATGTCACTGGGTTAATTGTTATATCTGACCGGGACCTGTTGGTGCATTTGTTTTCCCGGGTCCCCGTATATAAACGCATGTCTGTGCGATTGACGCAATCAAAGAGTGATTGTCGTTAGGCAAGTGAAAATCTCGTGCAGTTATGAAGGTATTCAGCTAATTGAAAGTGTGACTTAGATTGCAATAATTCTACTCTGTTTGGCCTTCCGTAGATCATCTCGGCGATCCTTGCGCTGCTGGTAGTTGCCGTGCAAGCAACGTACCATCCATACTACCATGGCTACAACCCGTTCGCCGCATTGGCATCACTTGGTTTGTACAACCCGCAAGTCTTGCCAGCACCACAGGTTCCTTACTCAGGAACCTATTCGTATCATGATGGACACAGGCCAACGGTAGTGCAGGCCAACAATGACGGATATAAATTTCCGCACGCCGTTAATAGTTTGTATCCGTGGAATCCTTGGGCGGCAGCTGCTGTTGCTCCTGCTCCTGTTCCTGTTCCTGTCCCTGCTCCTGTTCCTGTTCCTGCTGCAGCTTTGGTGGCTGCAGCTCCTGCCACAGCTTATCACTACTACGGACATCCCGGGCAGCCGTATCACTACAGCATTCCACAGAAGACGGTAGTGCAGGCCAATCTTGGAGGTCATGATCCGTGGAACTATGGGTCATTCTACGGGACGGGGATTTATGGATTCAAGTATAACAACTACGCTCCGGCAGCCGTACCGGTGCTAAGAATTGAATGATGCTGTTATCTGATGGCACTCATTTATATATTAAGGTTAAGATGCGATGACTACGTAGATACCAAATGATTGAAATAAACTTACTTATGATCCAAGAAGTTATATAGGCTTTGTATGCATTTATGAACCAACACATAGCGGCGCCGATGGTGTAGTGGTAAGCGTGATTACCTCTCACCCCAGCAGGCCTGGGTTCAATCCCAGTCGGCAACGCCGGGATGTTCTGAGGCGTAACATTTCTGACCACGCCTTACGGAAGGGAAGTAAAGCCGTTCATGAGTTGTGAGTGTTGCCTCCCTGGTAGCATTGGTGCTCAGCACGGGAAACAAGATCGACGAAAAAAAAAAAAGACTTATGTATAATGGTCCTCAAGCCGTATTACCTTCGTTACTTTATCAATCTTGTCAAGCTTTCAATCTAGACAAGCTGTTCTCCGAGATGGCTAATCCAATAAATATGATTGATATCTCATATGGCATATAACTTCTGACATAATGTTCTGTTTGGTCGTAATCATTGAAGAAAAAATCGTAAGCACTTGCACTGTGTCTATACCAAGATTTTTCAAACTTTCCAATGTGTTCCAATAAGATTAGCTTCTGCGAGTTTTTCCACCTTTTTATTCCATGTTGGGTATATTCATGACTGCGACCATAACTTTCACCGTTTTTATATTGCTTTATCAGTATGTCGTATCACGACATAGACTGAGCAAAAGCATTTTTTCAGCCAGGTATTACATTTCAAATGAAATGTACTACTTGACTGGTACCTGCATTCCAAATATCAAAGGGTTCTGCCAGCCCCTTATCCAGAAAAATACGCCTTTTATTGAAGATTGCTGTACGATAGCATAGCAGGTGTTCAGAGTATTCTTTTTCTATGTCACAGAATCGAAACATATCCTCTCGAAGTTTTCCTATTAGCTTCAAGTGATACCGTATTTGATAATTGAAAAATTCTACTAGTCATTGAAATGTTTGTAATTATTAACCTTTTCAACTGCCTAGCAATGGAACTGTTATTTCAGTTGATTCCACTTTCATATTTTCCCATCTCTGGATCTTTATGCATTGTTGAGATGATTCGATTGGCCAATTTCTGAAGTGACATTGCACATTTCCATACGAGTTTTGAATTGCATGTTGCTGATTTTAAAGAATTTAATGCTGCTTGACTATCAGACATAATGCCGATATTTGAATTTATATAATTTATAGAGCATTCAAGAATTTCTTTAATTTCTGCTTGAAACACGGTTGGCAACTAACACAAAGATATTGAAATATCTATCCCTGGACCAGTTATCCCTCACGATTGTTCAATCTTGAATCGTCTGTATGAAAAACAGTTGAACCTGGACGGATGTTTGGTCTCCCACTTTCCCAAACATTACGATCAAATTCTGTTGCATTGTACAAACAATCGAAATGATATTTTTTCTACATCCATAGAGAAAACGCTAATTTGGAACAACCCAAATTTGAGTAGGATCTATTCATATCCGTCAAAAGTAGTCTAAAATTGAGTAAACAAATTAGGAACTGACAGGTCGATGTTGGCCATTTGTCACTCCCAACTTTGTTTACTCAAATTTTGATAGCCCTACTCCCTACTTTTGTGGATATGAGTAGATTCTAATCAAATTTGGGTTGTTTGGAAAAGGCGTGCACCCCGCGCTGCTTTCGTGCACAAACTGAGCAATTCGCATACCCTTGGTCCATACATCATCCTCATCCGTACAATCGCTATCAGAATTGACACAAACGTGGATAAAACGTGGAAAACCAGAAATATAGGAAGGTCCAGCAAGGATGGTACACTGAAAATCTATATGAATATTTCAAAAGGTCCTATCTGCTTGGATCGATTATCTTCATCGACTTTCTATTTTGAAAACCACTGCTTAGGCAAACTGATTTTGCTCTATTTTTACCACATAGTTTGATAAAGGTGGTTCATATGTAGGTTTTGCAACTGATTGATTAACAAAAAGGAAAATCTACACGTGTACAATATGAATAATCATCACTGAATATTTCACGTTATTTGGTAACGTGGTTAAAAAGATACAGCTTTTGTGTGATTGTCATCAATTTCGTGTCCACCCATTTTACGTATGTAGTGCTTGAATTAAAAAACTATTTACTATTCTTTTAAATGTACTCATTATTTAAAAAAAAAAATTAAAAATAACTCATTTTTGAGATTTCAACCTTTTATCCTTTCGACATTTTATCCTTTGACATTTGGTCCTTTCAACCATTTGTCTCTTGCGACATTTTGTCCCTTCGACCTTCCGTCTTTCGACCATTTGGCTTTCAACCTTTTGTCTTTCGACTTTTTGTCTTTCGACATTTTGTTTTTCGACCTCTTGTCTTTCAACCCCTTGTCTTTCGACCTCTTGTCTTTCGACCTCTTGTCTTTCGACCTCTTGTATTTCGTGCTTTTGAATTTGAACTTTTGTCTTTCGACCTCTTGTATTTCGTGCTTTTGAATTTGAACTTTTGTCTTTCAGCATTTTGTCTTTCGTTCTTTTGCCTCTCGACCTTTTATTTTTCGACCTTTTGTCTTTCGACTTTCTGTCTATTGACCATTTGTATCTTTCGACTTTTTGTCCCTTCGACCTTTTGTCTTTCGACCATTTGGCTTTCAACATTTTGTCTTTTGACCATTTGTCTTTCGACCTTTTGTCTTTCGACCTTTTGTCTTTCGTTCTTTTGTCTCTCGACCTTTTGTTTTTCGACCTTTTGTGTTTCGACCTTCTGTCTATTGACCATTTGTCTCTTTCGACTTTTTGTCCCTTCGACCTTTTGTCTTTCGGCCTTTTGTCTTTCGACCTTTTGTCTTTCGACCTTTTGTCTTTCGACCTTTTATATTTCGACCATTCGTCTTAGAGCAGTTCCACGCCAAATTGAGAGTCGGAAAAAACTTGACTTTCCCTAATTTTCAAAAAAACTTTTCGTTATTTGTGTTATGGGAAATCATTCACAGTTTTACAAAAATTTGACCATTTTGGAATTTGATATTTTTTTAAATGACGTCTATGCCATTTTTCAACCACGAAAACGTCACTTCTGATCGAAATGACGTCTGAGACAAAGTTATAGAGAAAAATATAGTCTTTATGGGAAAAATATCTCCTTGGTATTTTTTTTTTTTAAATTTTAAGTGAAGTTTTTAAAACTCGATCATCTCAAAACATATATTTCCAATTTGAATGTATATATTTTTTATAAAAAGATCATTAAATATTCAAATTTTTGAAATTTTTAAACTATGGGCGCTTGATAAAAATCAAGGAACAAGAACTTCTGGTAATATTTTAATTTTTTTTTAATTTTTTTTAAATTTTTTTTAGTACGCTATTTTATGTAATTGCTGCAAAGGACTCCATATATCAGAGATTTTTAATCGTTATCAATGCAAAAATTACATTTAAAAGCTTGTTAACAAGAAGTTAACATATATGACCAAAAGTTGATGTTCTACGATTTATATCAATTTTCAAACATCCATTGCTTTAATTACTCTAATAATTTGTATTTTGTATGTTATTTATTAAAAATTGTGATTTTTCTGTTTTCAACCTTTTTTTTAATTTAATGCTCAAAATTACTTAATAGAAATAACCGTGTTTATTTTTCACAGAAATACTTTTATTTTTTATAAAACTTTGTTTCAATCGTCATTTTGATCAGAAATTACGGTTTTGTGCTACAATTTATTGAAAAAATGTCACTGACGCCATCTTGAAAAAAAAAATTTACAAGATCCAAAATAGCTGAACTTTCTTAAAACGTGATTGAGGAGAAGGTCGAGTAAAAATAATTAGTTTTTATCTTATTTGGCCTGGAACTGGTCCTTTCCGTCTTATGTCTAGCGACCTTCTGTCTTCCGACCTTCTGTCTTCCGACCTTCTGTCTTCCGACCTTCTGTCTTCCGACCTTCTGTCTTCCGACCTTCTGTCCGACCTTCTGTCTTCCGACCTTCTGTCTTCCGACCTTCTGTCTTCCGACCTTCTGTCTTCCGACCTTCTGTCTTCCGACCTTCTGTCTTCCGACCTTCTGTCTTCCGACCTTCTGTCTTCCGACCATTTGACTTTCAACCTGTTGTCATTCGATCTTTTGTTCTTTCAACCTTTTGTCTTTAGAAGTTTTGTCTTTTGACCCTTTGTCTCTTTCGACATTTTGTCCCTTCGACGTTATATCTTTATACCTTTTTTTATTTCGACCATTTGTTTTTTGACCTTTTGTCTTGTGACGATTTGTCTTTCGACCTTTTGTCTTGCGGCCTTTTGTGTGTTAACCTTTTGTCTTTCGACCTTTTGTCTTTCGTCCTTTTGTCTTTCGACCTTTTGTCTTTCGACCTTTTGTCTTTCGACCTTTTGTCTTTCGACCTTTTGTCTTTCGACCTTTTGTCTTTCGACCTTTTGTATTGCAACCTTTTGTCTTTTGATCTTTTGTCATAGATTCAAAGGATGATTTGAACTTAGAGGGGCAAACCGTCGAATGAACAAAGGGTCGAATGGACAGAAGCTCAAAATGGACAACACGTCAAAGTGAACAAAATTTCAAAAACCAACATCAAAATTGATACAAAAGATTTTAAAAAAAATACTCTCAAAGAACTGCTCATGATAAAAGAATGATTCCGTGACACGTACAGTAATTTCCATGACACGCACAGTAACTATTTTTATCTTATTTTTCCAAAGAACTGCTCATGATTTAAAGAAGGTAAAACACCCGAGAAAGTAAAATATTAAATTAATAACAAGTTCTATTACCCGGTTATCACTTTTTGATATCTGAATATGTTATCATTATGGTTGAATTAACAGCCAACATAACAAAAATGATAACAAAAAATTGCTCGTTGGATATCACAAAAATAACTAATTTTTGTTATCATTGATAATATCTTGATAACAAATTCTGTAAGCCATACAAATTTATTCCATAAATTTCAAATCATGTTATCATTTTGATATCAAAGCCTTACGCTGATAACTGAATTATGATTAGTGATTAAAAGCACTATTTTTTATTGTTTCAATGCGAATAATATTGAAAGTTTT